GTCTTTTACAGTTAGTAGTGCTGACACGTTTTAGTCACATATATGTGGCACCGAAGATAATCTAGAACATAATAGATTTATGGTTTAGAGTTTTGTGAATGATTAAAATGACATTTTATCTACTCAGAGATAATTCGGATTCCGGTTATCACAATTTAAAAGAAAAAGGTATACCGGAAGGTTGGAACCCGGAAAAGGAAATTGGTTCACGAGTTCTCTGGTAATTTGAATGGAACAATCTGTGTTGATCGTCTGATCTTTGTCAAAAAAGAAGAAGAAACTGTTTCGTCCATAAAAAGAATGCTTGACAGCTCGATTGCTTATTTTGGTCTAGCTTCAGAGTATTTGAATCTCTTTCGTGTTAGAGTCAAAGAGTAAACGATTTTATCACACGACATTTGTTGTAAGGACTAAGGAGAATAAATATTCATAGAAAAAATACTTCAAAATCATTTTAGAAATGAGAACGAAACCGATCCACCAAAAAAGGCTGCTAGAAAGTGAATGCCTATCTTGACATAGAAAATTCGAAAACAACATTTGCTACACCAATATCTATTTACTTTTGAATTAAAATAATGAGGAACAAAATATTATATTCTCAAGATGGATGCGTAATTAATTTTATATTGAACGGAACAAAACTAGTGAACTGCGTGTGTGAAGATGGATGATTTTTAAGTTTTGTGAATTGTTAATGTTCATCTTACATCAGAAAAATTGGAATGAAAATGTGGTATATTTTATGATTCTAGGAGAAGTTATCTAAATCCATGTAACAAGGTGTGTACACATTATGTAATCCTGGTTTTTCGTTTGGAATAATTATCAGATTGTTTAGTCATTATAAATTTCTACAGAATATAAATGGAAAAGGAAAAGAAAATGGTCGATGGAAAGGGTATTAGAAAGTGAAGATCAAGTTGATTCTAGTATTTGCAGGATAAAAGACATTTAAATGAAGTTGACCTTTTGAATTCAACGAAACTGACTTGACATGGTAAATTGATTAGCTCGAATATTATAAGATATAACATGTTTTATATGATAAAATGGTTTCTTTTTCTTTTTTTGATAAAGGGCAATGATAAATGGTTTCTTTCTCCTTATCATCAAATTCTTTACGCCATAGTTGCGGAAGATCTTAAAATATGCCATTTCCATAAGTGGTTTTCATTAAAAAGTGTGTATAGTATACATATCATATAAAATACTATAATTTTATAATGCATTGGACAGCATAATTTCTCTTTTCTTTTTTTCTTTCTCAAAAGGTAAATTCAGATTCTTTATTTATTTTATTTATTTTGCTTAACGAATGCAGATTCCTCATGCAAATAAAACCAAATATTCCAATATTGATATTCAAGCAACCCGTAAAGCTTGAAATACACATCGTCCGGAAAATTGTATGAATAGTATGAAATACTTCATCGCGTCTTTTTTTTTTTTTTTTTTTAATTTATACTTTCAAATAATTGTACTAATTCGTACATGATCAGAATCCACTGAAATTGTTTATATTCAAAACACATGTTCGTCATGTAAACGAGTAATGTCTTACTCATGCATGATTAAAAAGTAACACTTTATCAACAAATTTTTAACATTTAAACGTCTATGCTTTCTTTTATATATACACACCCTTTTGATACTATTTTGATCAGGGAAGGTATTTTTGTTTGTCAAAAAGCTTACATACTGATCTAACTATTGATATGTGTGGCAACAACCCAGCAATATTGATGCAAACTATTAAAAATGCCAACAGATCTAAACATCTGTTTGACTATTTAGTTATAACTTTAGTAATTTTCGTATGTATGATCTAATCTCTCTTGGGATTGGACATGGCGGTCGGTCTACTTAATCTAAAGTAATATTACGTAACTTTATTAGTGTTCATATGTATGGTCTCAGCTTTCTTAAATTTGGTCCATTTTATCAATGTAAAAAAATTGATGTTTGTTTAAAATCGTATGTATATCAAATACTGATACAAAATCTGAAAAATAAATAATAGTATATACTTCCTCCTCGTAAGTTCCAAATCATTCACTTATTCTGTGACTTACTTGCTAGCACTTGTTAGCAAGCTTTAGACCAAATGAATGCTTTCTTATTTTTTTCTTCAGCTTTATGTTGTTCTTGTTTCGTTTTCTCATGATGATGTGATTTAATTTTTCCCGAGTTTCATGTGACCTAAACGTGAGATGTAAGAACTAAGAAGTGGAGGTTTTGGATATGGTCAAATCTGCCATTTGCCAAATGGAAGACCAAAATCAAAGAGCATTGAGAATCGATAATTCTTTCACTATCATAAATATCCTTGATATTAGCCAAAATTCCATAATGATTTTGCAGAACTCTTTTGGACCTACCACCGCTGTATGAGCACTAAACATTACATTTTTGGATGCAACATATACTATCTACTAAATACTTAAACGATGTTTTCTATTTAGCATATTTGATCATAACCATTAGTACAATTTTGTTAGACTTGATTGTTGATTGGAGTAGTAGTTGAAGACGTTAAACAAAATTTGAACCTCCGATTAACATACTACTTTTTTAGAGTACTACAAAATAATCATAAGCTAATTAAATAGCTAATAATATAAAAACATGCTTAAGACATTTTTTTAATTACATACATGCTTAAGACAAGAAGAAGTATATCAATCAATAACAATCTTGATCATGCAGTGGATCAAATCTTCTACATGCACAATCATGATTAAGAATATATCTTTGCTTATAATAATTAAGAATTTGTACTTGAAAATTGAAATAGACTGCATACAAATTAAGAAGAGAGAAAGAGAGAAAGGAGAGAGAGAGTATAAATGTTCCATTAATGGATCGAGGACCAATAGGGACCCAAAATGACCCACCCAATCTCAAAGTGGTGAAGGGAAGTTATGGGGATCTAGTTTCAAATCATGAATCAATTAATTAAGCCCTTTTAGTAAAAATAAAAGACAAGAGAATGTGTGGCCACCATATATTTAGAAAGTAGTAACACTTACTTATCAATGAGGCAACTTAAGCTTTCCTTTGGTGTTCCACAATGTTGGCTAGTGGTGTCCATATATGAAAGTCATTATCCCAGTCCCTCCTTTTAAGTTTCCGCACGGGTATTTATTTAGTATTCATGCACTGTTTCTCGTAGCTATATTAAGTTTATAATTAATCTTCACTAGATGCATTGATTACTGTAAAGGTTTGTTAAAATCGATATCGTATGCAATTCAACTTTTAACTTAGGAGATCCACTATTCACAAGACCTTTCCCAACTAAAAAAAAATCATTTATTCACAAAATGAACGCCTATTGTTTTATTGTAGTTATTCAAGTTTATAAAAAAACTGAAATATAAAATTTCAAGTTAACAATGTGAAATGCTTTGGAGTAGCTTAGTTAAGGATATTTGTACTTTCTGAGCAGTAATGATTGTTATTCATGTGGCATACTAGATTAGACTTTCAAGCCCATGTATTGCTGAAAATCAGATGATAGAGGCCTCTTTTGAATTTATATTATCATGCGCATGTGAATGAGAAACGGTGTAACTGCAGTGTCAAATTCTTCAAATCAAAGCGACTTAATCAATTCATCTTACTAACTATATCACCATGTTATTATTATTTTTGTATGACATCGGTGTTTAACTGTCCGTATGTTCTTGTTATATTGATTTGTGAAAGATGTGTATATAATATATGGTTGTCTGTAATTTACATTCGACACAGAAGTATTGAATATTAGTAATCAACTTAAACAGTGGCTTTCAAAAGCTTATACAGGTACTAATACTTTCTGAATAGATAAACACACATATCATGCCACGTGAATGCAAAATGGTGTGTCCAAATTTTCAAGGGGACCAAAATGCTCAATCGCGTCTATTGCTGTTTCCATTTTTTTTTGCATACAATTACTGTTTCCATTTTCTGTCGCCTAACCCCCACAACTTAATAACCTCAATTAATTTTTTGAAGAACTCACAAGTCACAACTTAGTTCCATGGTCTAAACTCTAAAGTATAGATTAATCATGCATTTTGCACGTCATGTGGATTACCCATTGGTAAATTCCATATAACTTACTCGCAATTGTTAAATAAGTTTTAGTAGTATACTGAAACATAACGTTAATGCTGTGGTTTTAGAAGTAACTTGGTAGAAGAGTGGTTGATTAATTGGCGTTCCAATAGTTCTTATGATAATTTTCACAATTTTACAAATAGATTAATACACTACTTTTACTTAAGTTTACAATTTTACATGACGAGTTAGCTTATATATTACTCTACAGCAGTACAGCACTGCTGACATTAACATCGTTTCTATAATGTTAGCGTCGCTTTCATACATATATGCATCTAATATTTACATGTCATACATGATGATTGTGACTCATAAATATCATTAAATAATATACAAGTGTCAATCAAAAATTATCCCACAGTTTAGTTAAGAATACACAAGACTAAAACTCTAAAAGCTAGCCAGTGTTTTTGTCTGTTTCTTCGCAATTGGTTGCAGACAAAACAAAGATTCTTTGTCATTTTCCAACTAATAATCCCTAATTTGTTGTCAGCTCCAACTAAAAAATCTTTCCTTTTTGTTCTTCAAGAATCTTTTGTTCATATTTTCCTTTTAGATTGGAACCGTTTATTTTTCTCCACAGCCTAGCTAGTGAATATCTGTGCCTAGTTAGTAGTTACCAATCCATTTGCTTGACATTTGATCTTACATATTCTCTTTAGTCGCCATTCCTCAACACTAAATGCTTTCGTTTGACTCTAGCATTTCTAAAAGGGTGATAAACATAAGTATATTTTTGTGTTTATCAAAAAGACACATATTTGTATTAATTTGATCTTTGCAATCTAACACAATTTATATTTATTAATAAAATAGTATTATCCACTAAATTAGTTTAACGATAAAATACGTGTTTGTTAACATAAATAGAAGAAAATGAGAAAACTATGGTTTCTCTGGGCAGTCCAAAGTCTGTATTTGCCGTTGTTCTCAAGCTTTCTACTTTCGGATCACATATTAAATTGAGCCATCGTAAGCTCATCGCTATATATTCATCAAAGATTCACGAAGACTTTCCATTGGTGCTTAATGCTGATGAAGTGAAGAGTGTGACGATGTTGAATACAAAAGTTTTTACTAGTGATGGCTTTACTCACCTACAGTCCAAGTAACATATTATTAAGAAGAAACAAAGCACATATAACATTTTAAAGATTTATTACATTTTTGTATAACGAAAACAATACTTTTTGGTCAACCTGAAAACAATACTTATTCTTTAACATAAAATACGGCCACATAAAATTTGAAGGAAAACTCATCTTCCATACAACTTTTCAAATAGTTATTGATTATTAAACTTTTATATAGTGAAAAAAATAAATAAATGATAGAATAATATATTTTTTGTTGGTGTATAATATATTGTTACGTGATATATTATGATCCTGGTAGAAAACATTTTTGGATCTGCCACTGAACGACTAGGTAGATTTGTCCTAGAACTCTCTTAATTATTATAAACTTGATGTTGAAGAACCAGTGAATGGTTAAAGAAAAACTCTCCACTGAAACTCGGATGTTTAGGACTTGGGAGTTTGTTCTGGAGTCTCGACAAAGGATCCGACCCACACCGAGTCCGACCAATCCCCAAACTGAATCTAGCTATTGGGCTCTTAATAGTTACAATATGTGGGCCTTGCTCAGGTCGGTAGGAGTATCACCAAATGCTAAATTTGGAAACGATCAGTTGATTCGGTTCGAATGTTTGTTAAATGCAAATTTAATTCCGGTTCAATTATTCAGTAAAAAAAAAAGAAAAAAGAGTCCAGCCAAAACGCAAAGGATGTCCCCACCGCTACGTGTATAGTCAGGGGCGGATACAGCATCATATTCAAACGGGGGCACAACATTATATTTCATTATGTCTACCTATAGGATTATTGAACATTTTCTAAATTGAGAGTAATTACTGAAGGAAAACAAAAATTAGATGACTCCATTCCTCTCCACTTGCGTCCGCCACTGTGTATAGTATCTTGTAACTAATCTGATCTACACATTTTCAACTGCCTGTTCATTTTCATATGAAGTAACAATGAGAATAAAGAATCCACATGATTATATTCAAGTCAGACCTTAATTAGCTTTGTGTAATTGTATAAGACTGATAGATTGTAGTGTTGGTCAGTTGTTTATATAGCTCTCCTTGGTTCTGAACATATTATCCTGTAAAAATGTTGGTTCCTTTGCCTTCCCCCATTAGGCCGCATTTTCTTGGTAAAACTTTACCTATTGGTGACATCATTTAACTTTGTTTCCATGGGAAACTTAGTCAAAGCAACGGATGGTCTCGCTGGATTGGCTCTAAGTATTGCTGCCTTGGCTTTCGTTTCAACAGGGCCTACTTTAGATAAAGCTGGCAAAGCTTATCCAAATTATATTATATATTTGAAAGACCACACAAATTTAAAAGTTTATTGTACTATAGTTGTTCGAGCTATCTCTACTTCTTCATAGATAGAGCGTTCAATTCTATTCTCCTAAATATGCGCCAAAAAATGATGGAGCAGGCATTTGTTTCAATGGCAATAATAGCTCTTCCTATGCCCTCTAGTTACTTGTTTAGGGTTTCTACTTCACAATCGGTACAGAGAAATTAAAATGTGTCCATTAGTCCATGAGAGATACATGATCCTTGGCTCTTAGTGCAGCTTTGTCTGCAATGGCTTCATGTATATTGTGATTAAAAGCGAAATATAGATGTCAAAACTTGGTAAAAACAAAAAAAAAAACAGTTCGCCCTACTTCTCTCTCAGGCCCGAGAATCGAGGAGCCGACAAACATCATCTTTCTCGACGCCGGTGAGGTCTCTTGCCGCCGGCGTCGGGTCCTCTGCTCTGCCTCCTGTTACTCATCGTCTTTAGCTCGTTCACCACCATATTTGACTTGTTTCCGCCGATTGTGTCTTTGTTTCGGAGTCTGGGATTCCAGATCTGTGACCTTCTGGGGGCTTCCCCACTTATTCATCATGACGGTCAGCTTCAGTCACCTCCAAACCTCTAGATCTACGCCTCTTCCACAGTGTCGTCCGCCATCTCCGCCATTTCTATACTCTCAGACCTCTCCCTCCAGATACAGCTCGACAAACGCAGATGGTGACGGTCCTCTCCGGGATTCTGAGGAGATCTTCTGTGCCGCGTCTCTGCTCTGTCGGTTTGTAGGACCCATCTTCTCCGGTGATCCAAGTTCGCCGCTCCCTGTGCACCGTCCCTCTCTAGACAGCTGCGTATCCATTGCCGCTGCCGGAGTTTCCATCTCTGAAGTCTTTATCCTCTCTTTTCCTTCACTGAATCAATTATCTTGGGTTGGGTCAAGGATGATTACTACATGGGCCTGGACTGCAAAGCTCCATTGTTGGGATAGTCCACACACCAACTACACAAAACAAGGAGATACGGTACTGATAGTACTGATTTTATTGAAAAATGTTGTTTGTGTAATTGTTCGTTTGATAAGGATTTCTGGTGGGTTCACTAGGACCTTAAATTTGCTTATAATAGCATATTATCTTATTAAGAAGAGTGGATCAGTGGGTTCACCGAGAATGTTTCCATATCGTTTTTCCTCGTCTTGTGAAGAGGGGATTTTTTCACCATGCCTTCTTCCCATGGAAGAAGATGTTTTCTCGGCCTCGCAGCTGAACATCGGTTTCAATCTTATCACTGGTTCGTTATCTTACGTAGCGGTCTATACGGGGCCTGAGCACTACAAGAAAACACGTCCTTTACTAGGACGGGTTTTCCTCGTTATTTCCTAGTAAAGGGCCCTTTACTAGGAAATAGCGAGGAAACGTGTTTCGTCGAAAGACGTTCATCGTAAAGGCTATTTTCCTCGTAAAGGCCTAGCTAATTTACGAGGAAAGATTTCCTCGTAAAGCCGTGGAAAACATTTCCTCGTAAG